GGATCAATTTCTGTTTGAAATTGTTGCTCTTGTAGGTCGCTTCCCAGAAATCTGTCTAGTTATACAACATGTAATTTATTTTTGAGATTATTTATTCAGTCATATGTATGTACATAAAAATTTACAGGTTCAACGACAAAATCTTCTCTGGCATAAGTCTAAAGCAGACTTACGTTAAATCAAGTCAAGCTACAGAATACGACTCAGCTTGATGGTCGTCGAAACCTTCTCATCTTTAACATATATTAAGAAGTTATTTATGCAATCTCACAACAACAACGAACGCTAAACGTCTATTACATGTTTCGTGAACGCTCTATTTGTCTTCCCATTACCGATTCTTTTTGAGTCGCGTTCATATATGCTATTAACATATTTGCCCAAATCATTTTTCTATCGCTTTACTGACGCACGTAATTCTATGCACATCATTTTCTCATATATATTTCTTAGACTTATCCTAATTGATAAGAAGAGCTTTTATATAAAGTTTTTCTCAAGGCTTTTGAATTTCTTAAGCTTACATATATATATATATATAGAGAGAGAGAGAGAGAGAGAGTGAAGATATTCAAAATGTTGATATTTCTTACTCCTAGAAACTTATGAAAATTTCTCACTAGATGATTGATAATAGAGCCAGAAATGAAAACTGCAAATTAATTCATGTGTGAAAATTTTTATTATCCCATTTGCTATCCTTTTAATTATAATTGTGTTGAGGTTTGCACATTATTCAGATAGTCGCTCGAACACAACGACTTTTATGTTTCGATTGGCGAACAATTGAGCGCCTCGTGATAAAATTCAAGTTAACGGATAAATTTATTATCACTTTGCTATAAAACAAACGATAGTACAGAATGAAGAGAATTGGTTGGCCATTGTCATAATAATGATTTCTGCTTATCGTTTATACGCTTGAAAACCTTTGCAAGCCCAAAGCAGAGAAATGCTTATGATAAATGCCTTTTACACTATAGGCTTGTCTCTTCTCTTTTTTTTTTTTTTTGTTTTAGTTGCTCTTGTTTTTAGACTGTGTTTTCCATTATCGTGAAATATAGCTGCGTTACGTTAAAATATCTCACCTTTAGCAAAGAAGTTTTCGTATTAATATTGGAACTAGGAATTCGATCTGTATAAGAAAAAAAATTATTTAGAATTAAAATAAATGATTACTTGATCTGTGTCTGGATATGTGAACAAAAAACTTTTTATGCGAAAGTAACACGCGTTCTCTTTTCTGCTTTATACCTCTCCTTAAAGTGGTTTTTGAAATTTACACAAATAACGCGATATACTTTTACACCCCCTCAAGGTGTACTGTACCCTCCGGCTTAGCATATTTACAATTTTTTCTGGGAATGTTTTTGGTTGCACCTTAAATGCTTAATCGATATGTATACCCTGTAAGTACAGCTTGTGAAAGTTCCATGAAGGGAGTTGGTTTACCTGTAAGACAGTTTCGTTTAGTTAGACTCCTTTCACCAGATTCTCATCTTTCTTCTTCTCATAGCATTTTATTATCTAAACAATTTCCTAAGAGATATTTTTCATTCACATAAGAACAACAATAATTCTTTTTCTTTACTTAGGATTTGTTAGCGAATTAAAGCCAATGAATGGTAAACATTGGTCTTTACTTCTTTAAAAAAAAAAAAAGCCCATCATAATGATCAACTTTTCGCAGCTGACAAGCACGTCAAGTTCAACGTTCATTTATTTAACCAGAAAGTATTACAATACCGTTACTTTTAAATGCCGCTACTATACTATACTATGCTACACTATACATGCAAGGATGAGATGATGATTAGCAATGGTAGTAATGTTGGTAGTGGTTGTTTGGTGCATTGCCCCCATTTTTTTTTTTTGTTTTTTGTTTTTGTAAACCATTTGACCCTAGATTATGTGTCCATGATGAATTGTTGTTATGGTTGGCTTTTTTTCCTTTTCTTGATTTCGCCTTTTTGCAACTTTCAGAAAGTAATGACAAAATTGCTAACAATTCGACCCTAATTAGAGCATTTTACTCACATATAAACGTACACATCTACATACATATTTATATATACATATATATATTTAACTCTTAAACTATGAATTAGACATTGACTATATTGGTATGCATGCATGCATGCATGTGAATAGTTATTATTGTTATACTATTGTTGTTAAAGACTATTTTCTTATAAGAGAGCATGGAAAAGTTAAGTACACATAAATGTGCAATCATATATACTAAGAAAACTAGGAAGGTCCACATTAACTTAACTCTATATATTCTATGTGCACATGCAGATAATCAAGCCGACCGACAGACAGACTTGCATTATAAATGCACTTAGAGGAGTATGTACTAAAAGTCATTGTATGTAATCTCTTTTCTCTTATTGTTTTTGTTTTTGTTGTTGATGGTGTTGTTATTTTTGTTGTTGCTGTTGTTGTTGTTGTTGTAACAGACAAAACAGGGATCAACAATAGCAACAGCAAGCAAGCAATAAGAAGGCGAAATAAAGGCAAAAGCAAACAGCAGCTGTATGGACAAAGTGCGGTCGAAGAGAGGGCGTGTTCATTAGTCACAATGTTGTTCTTACTGTATTGCCATTATAACTGGTGTTGTTGTTGTTGTTGTTGTTGTTGCATTCGCTTTGAACGTACTTTAAACAAACGTACGAATAGCAGCGAAAAAAAGCTAAAACTTTTTTATTAATTTTCAAAGAAAGAACGAATATATGCGAACAACGAGTATACAACGACAAATATAAACTAAAGAAATGAATATAAAACTCGATCGCAGTCAAGAAAAACCAACAGCAACAACAGCAACAACAACAATAGCTATGAACATAATCGAGCTCTAAACAACACATGAGTATGAATACGCACACCACTACAGGTATAGTACTACGAACACAGATACAAACACATATGCACGCATGCACATGTACACATATAGATATGTTGACTAGTAACATAGATGAAGAGGGGGAGAAGTATCTAGAGAGACAGAGAGAGTGAAAGAGAGAGAGAGAGAGAGAGCTCTGTGCGCATATTATGTATATATTTATATAAATGGAAGTATGTGTATAAGCACATACATACAAGATATGAACCGTGGGAAAGAAGATTTGAAGACGTGGTTTTGTTTGTTTGTCTTATTTCGTCGTACGTCGTTCGTACGTTTTGTTTGCTTTGCTTGCTGTTTTCTACTATGCTTCACATATTATATCTCGTGGTGTATGTAGTTCGGCATTCATACCAAGTTTGTTATTTTAGTTTTCTTGCTTTCCGTAGTCTCTTCTTATATTTTTATGGATTTATTTTTTTTTCCATGTTATTCTTCAATTCTGCTCATGCACACCATTTTTAAGAGTGGTTAGTAATATAGTGTTGTTATTATTGAACGTACTGCGTTGTCATTCTTGCTGGATGTATGCGAGAGTTTGCTCATGTTATGAGTTTAGTTATTCTTAATTTTATTGATGTTGTTGTTGTTACTTTTGTATCTATGTTTGCCTCTTTAAATTGTTTTAGTATTTTCCTTTATTTGTCTTTTTTTTCTCCTCTTTGGAAGAGTATAATAAAAGCGCTTGAAAAAGCATCTGATGGAGTTGTTTTATGATCCTTAACTGTTGTACGTATATAAGTGTACATAACATGTATACGTTGCGTTATATGTTTGTGTGGTTTCTGTGTATGCCATTAAAATGTTTTTCTTGTTATTTTCTTTCCGTTGGACATATCATCTTTTATTTATTTTCCTATCTACACATATGAATATCTAACTATCTGCACATATATATATTTATATGTATTATATATATACATACATCTATATAAATTTGTATGCATATATTTATATGCATGTATGTATTTATGCTCATACGTATCTATGTAAGTACGCAGATGTGTATAATCATAAGTATCTGTTGGTTCGACTGAAAGTTATGTTTTAGGTGGTTGCGTCGTTTTTCTACTTCTGATCGTCTTTTTTATTATGTCTCGTACGTTTTCTGTGAGAAAGCGAAACAATTTGAGACACCATTTATTTACTCCGAAATGGGAGACGGAGAAACAAGTCTCGAGTTTTTTTACGTATATTTATATATAAACGTACATATATACATATTTGTGTATTTATATATGTATATATTTATATATGTAGTCATAAAGCCGGTTTTTCACTCTAGCAAACCACTAGGTTTTTTTTGACTCTGCCGCTACCTGTTTTAAGTCCTATGTCTTTTCTGATAGTTTCTGTAAAAGAGAGAGAGAGAGAGAGAGAGAGAGAGAGAGAGAGAGAGAGAGAGCGATCTTACCCAGCCAACGATCCAATGAACGTAAACGTCATTATTACCAATTAATTTTGTGGTTCAAATATTTTGATGTTTTTCACTAGATTTATGACCTCTTCTTTGATTTCTTGGATTGAATATTAAAACCCTTAAATATTTCAATTAATGATGGAAAAGTATTTTATATACATATATATACATATATGTGTGCATATATGTAATATATGTATGCAAATTGATTGATTTTGAATTATGAAACATAAACGAAGGTGACCCTTGAGAAGAGAGAGGGCTCGACTTTTTTTACCAGTAACTGCTTTTTAAATACTGGTGAAACTAAACTTTGCATTATAGTTGGTTATTTTTTTTATTATATTCCACTTAGATACAGTTCTTTGCGGCAGATACCCACAGTCCGAGGAAAATCACGATCTTCATGAAATAGCGTCCTTCCAGTGTTTACACAGATTCTCTGGTCTCTAAGCTTAAATTTGCCACTTTTTTCCCACAAGAAGACAAGTGTGAAGTAAAAAATTGCTGCAAAATAAGTTTTTAAGCGATTAGAGCTTGTTCTTTTTTTAAGGTAGAAACTATAGAAGTAGTTTGCTCTATTGCCAACCCTAAATGATTATGTTTTGAAAGTTTTGATCTCTTTTACCCCGATCTTCAATAAAACCTTTCCCAATCTTTGTTTTTTTGCAGGTTTCCAAGGTAAACACTGTGAACACAATATTGATGACTGTCCCGGAAATCAATGTCAAAATGGTGGCACTTGCATTGATGGTATTACTTCATATAGCTGCAGTTGTCCACCTAACTACACCGGAGAATATTGTCAAACTGATGTCGATGAATGTGCCATAATGTCGTCCGTGTGCAAGAATGGTGCGACATGCACTAACTCGCCGGGCTCCTACTCATGTATTTGTGTGAATGGTTGGAACGGTACAGATTGTAGTGAAAATATTGATGATTGTGCTACTGCTTCCTGTTTAAATGGTGCTACTTGTGTTGACGGAGTAGGTTCATTCTATTGTCGCTGTGCTCCTGGCAAAACTGGCCTGCTATGTCATTTGGATGATGCTTGTACGTCAAATCCTTGCCATGCCGATGCCATATGTGATACCAGTCCGATAAATGGTTCTTACACTTGTTCCTGTGCTGCGGGCTATAAAGGTGTTGACTGTTCAGAGGACATTGACGAGTGTGATCAGGGTTCGCCTTGTGAGCACAATGGAATTTGTGTGAATACACCCGGTTCTTTTATGTGTAACTGTTCACAAGGTTTTACGGGACCGCGTTGTGAAACGAACATCAATGAATGTGAATCTCATCCTTGTCAGAATGAGGGTAGCTGCTTGGATGATCCCGGCACATTCCGTTGCGTTTGTATGCCTGGCTTCACTGGTACACAGTGCGAAATAGATATTGATGAATGTCAATCTAATCCTTGTTTAAATGATGGCATCTGTCGTGACATGATAAGCGGTTTTAAGTGCTCTTGTGCTTTTGGCTTTACGGGTTCGCGTTGTCAGATAAATATTGATGATTGCCATTCGCAGCCATGTCGTAACAATGGCATATGTCATGATTCTATTGGTGGTTATACGTGCGAATGTCCGCCAGGTTATACGGGTCTGTCTTGTGAAATCAATATTAACGATTGCGATTCGAATCCTTGCCATCGCGGCAAATGCATTGACGGAGATAACTCTTTCAAGTGTGTTTGTGATCCCGGTTTTACTGGTTACTTGTGTCAAACACAAATCAATGAATGTGAGTCTAACCCGTGTCAATACGGTGGTCATTGTGTCGATCGTGTCGGTTCGTATATATGTCATTGCCTGCCTGGAACCTCGGGAAAAGATTGTGAAATCAATGTCAATGAATGTCATAGTAATCCTTGTAACAATGGAGCTACTTGCATTGATGGTATCAATAAATACACTTGCAATTGTGTTCCTGGTTTTACAGGAGTCCATTGTGAAATCAATATCAATGAATGTGCTTCGAATCCTTGTGCTAATAATGGAGTCTGCATGGATTTAGTTAACGGTTACAAGTGCGAATGTCCTAGAGGTTTTTATGATCCTCGTTGCTTAAGTGATGTTGACGAATGCGCTTCTAATCCATGTATTAATGGCGGCCGTTGCGAAGATGGCGTCAATGAATTTATTTGCCATTGTTTACCAGGTTATGGCGGCAAGCGTTGTGAGATTGACATTGATGAATGTAGTTCGAATCCGTGCCAACATGGCGGCATTTGCGTAGATGAGTTGAATGCTTTCAAATGTCAGTGTATGCCTGGTTATACGGGATATAAATGTGAAATTAATATTGATGACTGCGTCAATAATCCATGCGCTAATGGAGGCACATGCATTGACAAAGTAAATGGTTACAAATGCGTTTGTAAGGTTCCGTATACGGGAGTTGATTGTGAATCGAAATTGGATCCTTGTGCCACCAATAGATGCCGCAATGACGCTATGTGCACACCATCCCCAAATTTTTTAGATTTCTCATGTACCTGCAAGCTTGGCTACACAGGACGTTATTGTGATGAAGACATAGATGAATGTAGTCTCTCCACGCCATGCCGAAATGGAGCAACTTGTCTCAATCTTCCTGGATCCTACAGGTGCATATGCGCTAAAGGTTATGAAGGTCACGACTGCGCAATAAACACCGATGATTGTGCTTCATTTCCGTGTCAAAATGGTGGCACTTGTTTAGATGGTATAGGCGATTATTATTGTCTTTGTGTAGACGGATTTGATGGTAAACATTGTGAAACGGATATCAATGAATGCTTAAGTATGCCTTGTCAAAACGGTGCTACGTGCCGTCAGTATGTGAATTCCTATACTTGTACCTGTCCGCTAGGTTTTTCCGGTATTAACTGTCAAACAAACGACGAAGATTGTACGGAAAGCTCTTGCATGAACGGAGGCACTTGTATAGACGGTATTAACAGTTATAATTGCTCATGTTTGCCTGGATTTACGGGTTCGAATTGTCAGTACAAGATTAATAAATGCGATTCTCAACCTTGTCAAAATGGCGCCACCTGCCACGAAAATAATGACGAATACACATGTCACTGTTCGTATGGTTACACGGGAAAGCAATGTACGGACTATGTAGATTGGTGTACAAAATCACCTTGTGAAAATGGTGCAACTTGCACCCAAGTGAAAAACCAGTTTAGCTGCCGTTGTGCCCCCGGTTGGACTGGAAAGCTATGTGATGTAGAAATGGTATCGTGTAGAGATGCTGCGCTACGTAAGGCAGTTCCCTTAGATCAACTCTGCAATAATGGAACTTGTAAAGAGCATGGCAATATTCATCGCTGCTACTGCAAACAGGGTTACACGGGAAGCTACTGTCAACAGGAAATCAATGAATGTGAGTCTCAGCCTTGTCTAAATGGCGGTACTTGCCGAGATTTGATAGGATCATATGCCTGCGTGTGTCGCAAAGGTTTTCAAGGACAGAATTGCGAATTAAATATCGACGACTGTTCTCCTAACCCCTGTCAAAATGGAGGCACTTGTCATGATCTCGTAAGCAATTTCACTTGCTCTTGTCCACCTGGTACAGCAGGTTTAATTTGTGAATTCAATAACAACGATTGCTCTCCGGGGGCATGTCACAATAACGGTACTTGCATCGATCGCGTTGGTGGGTTTGAATGCGCTTGTCCTCCTGGTTTCGTCGGCTCGCGGTGTGAAGGTGATATTAATGAGTGCCTATCCAACCCTTGCTCTAATGCTGGCACTTTAGATTGTGTCCAGCTCGTAAATAATTATCATTGCAATTGTAAACCTGGATATATGGGTCGACACTGTGAAAATAAGGTGGACTTTTGCGCTAATTCGCCCTGCCAGAATGGCGGCAATTGCTCGCCTAAACAAGGAGGCCATCATTGCGTATGTGCAGGCGGCTTTTATGGGAAGAACTGTGAATTTTCTGGACATGATTGTGATTCGAATCCATGTCAAGCCGGCACATGTGTGATCGATGACGGGGGAGGATATCGTTGCAGATGTCCGCGCGGAACAGAAGGCCGCCATTGCGAAATAGATACAATGGATGAGTGTTCGCCGAATCCCTGCTTACAAGGAGCTGCTTGCGACAATCTTCTAGGTGACTTTGTTTGCTTCTGCCCTTCAAAATGGACTGGAAAACGTTGCGAGATTCATGATCCCAAATATCCAGGTTGGGTATCGGATTCAAGTCGTGGAGCTTTAAATAAATACGCAAAGGACTTAGAATATCAACGAGAGGTGTGTGTAAAGAGAGGTTGCGAACAGAAGAAAGGCAATCACATATGTGACCAAGAATGCAATACTTATGCATGTAATTTTGATGGAAATGATTGTTCATTGGGTATAAATCCTTGGGTGAATTGTACGGCTCCTATCGAATGTTGGCGCGTATTCATGGACGGGATTTGTAATGAAGAATGTAATGACGCCGCTTGTTTATATGACGGCCGCGACTGTGAAAAAAAGCTACAGCCATGCAATCCTGTTTACGATGCCGTCTGCCAGAAGTACTATGCTAACGGAGTCTGTGATTACGTTTGTGACAACGCTGAGTGCAACTGGGATGGTCTTGATTGTGAAAATGAGTCCGAGCAACCGAATTTAGCTGATGGTGCTATTTCTGTCGTGATGTTAATGGACTTAAAGCAATTTCGTGAGCAACAAGTAGTGTTTTTACGAGAAATGGGTCATTTACTGCGTACTACAGTGCGAATCAAGAAAGACTCTATGGGCAACGACATGATATTTACTTGGAAAGGCTCATCACAGCTAACTGACATTCAAAACACCGACTTTGCACGCAGACATAAAATTTTATTCACTGAACGTAATGGACAGACCGGTATACAAATATATTTAGAAATAGACAATCGCAAATGTACGGAATGCTTTAATCGGGCGGCCGAAGCTGCCGAATTCTTGGGAGCAATCGCATCGAAGTACACACTGTCGTCCAAATTTCCGATATATAGCGTGCGCGGTGTACAAAATCCCGGCGAAGATGTTGAAGAGACGCCAACAAATGTAAAATATGTTACTACAGGAGTTATACTGGTTGTATTGGCTTTTGCTCTATCAGGTGTACTAGTCACCACACAACGTAAACGCGCTCACGGCATAACTTGGTTTCCTGAAGGATTTCGAACACCTGCTACTGCTATAAATCGACAAAGACGTCGACGTGATCCTAGTGGTCAAGAAATGCGTAATTTGAACAAAAATCCGTCAATAGCTTGTATGAGTAATGACGTAAATATGAATTCTGGACACATGGGACATGCTCCTCAATGGTCGGATGATGAGTCAGATATGCCCCAACCAAAACGTTTGCGAAATGACCATGGCGAGTACGCAAGTGACCATACTATGGTCACTGATTATGAAGAGGCCGACCAGCGCGTGTGGTCACAAGCGCATTTGGATGTTGCTGGTGTTAGATCTTCAATTATGACTCCTCCTGCTCATCAGGATGGAAAACATGACGTAGATGCAAGGGGTCCCTGCGGTATGACTCCACTAATGGTAGCTGCAGTTCGTGGAGGCGGTATCGATAGCGGAGAAGATATTGAAAACAGCGATGATATTACAGGTCAGGTAATAGCCGAGCTTATAGCTCAAGGGGCTCAATTGAATGCAACTATGGATAAAAGTGGAGAAACTCCTTTGCATTTAGCGGCACGATATGCTAGAGCAGATGCTGCAAAGCGTTTGCTAGATGCTGGAGCTGATGCTAATTGTCAAGATAATACTGGACGTACTCCACTTCATGCCGCTGTAGGTGCCGATGCCGTAGGCGTGTTCCAAATACTAATACGTAATAGAGCCACAAATTTGAATGCTCGTATGCACGATGGTACCACACCATTAATTTTGGCTGTTAGACTTGCCATTGAAGATATGGTAGAAAAACTAATTACTGCCGATGCTGATATCAACGCTGCCGACAATACCGGGAGAACAGCTTTACATTGGGCTGCTTCTGTAAACAACATTGAAGCCCTGAATATACTTTTGATGCACCATGCGAACCGCGATGCCCAAACCGATAAAGACGAGACTCCATTGTTTTTGGCGGCCAAAGAGGGATCTTATGGATCATGTAAGGCTTTGTTGGACAACTTCGCTAATCGAGAAATCACTGATCATATGGATCGGCTACCACGTGATGTGGCCTTGGAACGTCTGCATAACGATATTGTAAGACTTTTAGATGAGCACGTGCCCCGTTCACCGCAAATGATAGCTATGACACCACAAACAATGATTGCGTCTCCGCCACCCGGAAGTCAAGCACAAATGATCACACAACCCACCGTAATTACTACGGGGAAGCAACCATCGCAGGCAGCGAAAAACAAGGCTGCCAAGAAAGCAAAGCTTCTGGAAGGAAATCCCGAAGGATTATTAGACAGTGGCGGCAGCTTACGTCGAAAACCGAGCTCAAAAAAGGGTTTAGGAGTGGGCGGGGCGGCATCAAAAAAAGGAAATGCGAACAACCTTACGGCGTCTCAACTGATGAATGGCTTGGCTGGTGGCCCAGCGGCACAGGATCAGGTGTCGGCGGAGAACCAGCAGCAACATTTGCTGGAAGCTGCCCTCAGCTCGGTGGACTCACCACCGCCAACTGCGCTGACAAGTCAGCCGAGCCCGTACGACACGTCGTCGATGTACTCAAACGCTATGACAGCGGTGACCAACCATCACGGCGATCTGCTGGGGACTGGAAACAGCAGCAACACCAAACAGCCTCCGAGCTATGAGGATTGTGTCAAAGTAAATTTTTTTTAGATTATATATTAAGATCTGTTACAACTATTCTAATCTGTTATTTTTGCTTGAATAGAACACGCAATCCCTGCAATCGCTCGTACCACAACAAAGTCACGACATAATTAAACTCGAAAATTATGGATACTCAATGGGTTCGCCATTTCACCAGGAATTAATGAATAATGGACAATCGGGTAATAACAGCGCTCCAAATGCTGGAAATGTTATTGGTGGGCATGAACAAGGTTTGTCGCCACCTTACTCAAATCAATCACCGCATTCAGTGCAAAGTAATTTGGCTCTATCGCCACATGCCTATTTAGGTAAGTAATGAGTTATCAGAATATTTTTTTTAAATAAATGAATAAAATTGTGTTTTTTTTTGATAGGTTCACCATCTCCTGCCAAGTCACGTCCCAGCCTACCAACATCACCTACACATATGCAAGCCATGCGACATGCCACACAGCAGAAACAATTTTGTGGTAGCAATCTAAATACTCTGCTTGGCGGAAGTAGTGCTTCCAATGGTGTTAATCAAAACTCACCAAATAGCATGAGCTTTCAAACGTCAAGTAGTCAAAGCTCGCCCGTTAACTTAGGTATAATTTCACCAACTGGTAGTGATATGGGAATTATGTTGACAACACAACAACAAATACAACAGCAGCAACAACAACAACAGTTGCAACAGCAGCAGCAACAACAACACCAACAAAATAACAATAAAAGTAGTGCAATATTGCAAACAATGCAACAGCAACATCATCACCAACAGCAGCAACAACAGCAGCAGCAGCAACAACAGTTAGGGGGAGGCAGTGCAGGGAGTAATATAGAATTTAGTTCAGCGGGCTTGGACTTGAATAGTTTTTGTGGATCACCGGGTAAGTGCGAATTTTAATTAAAAGTATAAGCACAAGATAATAATTAAATGCATCATAGAGTCGTCTAATAATTAACGTTTTACTCATTGATTGATATAATTATTTACTTGCTTTTTTCTTTTGCTACGTAGACTCATTTCATTCCGGGCAAATGAATCCGCCTTCAATACAGAGTTCAATGTCGGCTAGTTCACCATCTGCAGCCAATATGTTGTCGCCGTCATCTCAACAAAATCAGGCCTTTTATCAGTACCTGACCCCGCCCAGTCAACATTCGGGCAGTCATACACCGCAACATATGGTCCAAACACTAGATAATTTTCCCACACCATCGCCCGAATCGCCTGGTCATTGGTCCAGCTCTTCACCTCGCTCCGATTGGTCGGAGGGTGTACAGTCACCCGGCGCCAATAATTTATACATTTCAGGCGGTCATCAGGCCAATAAAGGCTCTGAGGCGATTTACATTTGACAATGAAGGTAAAAGGGAGTCAGCTCAACGAAAGAACGAGAGAAGTAGAGAGAGTAAGCTAAGGAGCTCTCCCATAACATTAACGATGTAGAAGCCGAGTGCATTCGAATGAATAAAACTGCATGCAAAGAGACTTACTAATAACTCTGTAGAAAATATGTAATACTTAATAACTGTAAACTATAAGATGTAACGACTTTTAATCTTTAATATATAATGTAATCAATAGTCTGTTTCAAAAAGTACTCGCCCTCCAAATTCAAAACAACAGCCATAAAGATTAAGCTCCAGCTCTGGTAATAATTTCACAGAACAAAATTAATTTGGTGGCATATTATGTAAAAATCGAAACTGATTAAATTGTAATTTATTTTAAAAACAAAAACTTATTTTATTATTATATATTATTTTATTTTAATACGTAGACGACTTAAAAAAACAATTACATCAGCTAAATTATGAAACTCATCAAGAATCTCTCTATTTTACATTAGCAAACACCCAAACAAAATTAATGAATAATTGAAATTTTAAAAGCAATCTCAAGCACGTCCTTTAATTCCCATTAGAAAGGAGAGAAAAGGACATAATAACTAATTTAAGTTTTTCTTTTTGTAAGTTTAGCTTTAACTTTACTAATTTGAATTGTTTTTATTATAACGATGTTAATAACACAACAGAATTGATTGACATCTTACTCGGTCCCACATCTCTACCGGATTTGCGGTCTTCTTGTTCACAAATTCTTGGGCATCAATTTTAAAAGCAAAAACAAACTGTAGAAGACAAATTTTTCAAATTTTTAATAGTTTAGCTTACTTATAGATATATATTTTCCTTTTTCCCCTTGTTTGTAAATTAGTACGTAAGACTAGCTATGATACGAGTAATGAATAGTATAAATAAGTTTTGAAATTAGTTAATAAAAAGGAAAAGAAATCTATTGCTTCCAACTCATACCGTAAGTGAAAAAAAAAAAGAAAACAAAGAAAAAAAAAGGATCGATCATATAGTTTCTAAATGTTTGCTAGAAAGCTATGTACGATCAATAAACTGAATAATAAAAGCAAACGCGGACATTTATTATTATTACGATATTCTTATAAGTTTTTTTCTCTTGTGTAAAAAGTATCTCACATATTGTTAAGTTGTTGTATTTCCTCAAATAAGCAGTGCCCAAAATAGGTAATCTCCTTTCGTTTATTTTGTATTTTGTATTTTTTTTTATTTTTTTTAATTTTTTTTTTTTTAAATCATAACCATTGTAAAATTGCATTTTCTTTTCTTTTAATTTGATTTTTATTTTCTTTCCCTTCTTCAGATTTTATCTTACTTTAATAAATTTTTGTTTTCATTGCTTTTTTGTCTAGTAAAGCAAACCAGTTGATTCATGTAAGCTAAAAAAAAAAAAAAATAATTACATAAACAATATTTTTTAAACATATCTAAGTGCTAAATTTTCTATTTAAATTAATTAGTTTTTAGTTGAAGGAAAAAAAAAAAAAAAAAAAAAAAAAAAAAAAAAAAAAAAAAAAAAACAAGATACATTATACATTATTTATATACATATATGCAACATACATATAAAAAAAAGGATAAAGAATTCAGTAAAAATTACCCAGAATAATCCGTAAGGTTAGTTTTGTGTCAAATTTGTCTCTATATAAAAATATTTCATTTAATTTTCTTTTCTTATGCTTTACTTTTTTGCTTACATTTATTTTTCTACGTGTGTGAACAGTATATCATGTACTGGAAATAAATTCAATTTATAATTATTGTTTATAAAAAAAAAAAAAAAAAAAAAAACTGTTCCGGAGTTCTTTATTCCACTGGAAGATTATATCGACGAAGCAATTTTTTCTCTTTAAAAAGGATTTCCTATTTTTCAAAAAATTAAGGCATCATCGACTTTCTGTGTATAATTTGCAATTCCTGCCTTTAAGCGAAGATCCTTTCATTTGATAGACAATTATGTATATTTCGAACCACATTCTTCACGACTTGGTATGCGCACTTTGTAGATAATTAGGAAAATGAAAAATTCCGTCCTTATGTACATACGATTTTTCGATAATTGTGCGAAATGGCTTCACTTACTTTAGAATTTAATTTAACGGGATTGCGGAATAAAGTTTGTTTGTAAGTTTCAGTACGCAATCGCCATTCCAATGGATGGACGAACAATAGACATGACCAAATGATTTTTGGCTGTAAAAGCCCATCGAAACGCAATAAGAATAAGTTGATTATTTTAGTCAATCTAACGTTTCAATTTAGGATTTTCACAAGTGAGGAAGTATGATAGTCGGTGCATGGCATCAAATGCTGTCAGTCATGACTATATCAATATCGCATATTTATGCCGAACACTCAAGGATGAGAGGTACATCAATTTTATCGAAACGCTTGCAACGCCCAGAAAGCACATCCAGAGACCCCACAAAGTATATATATTCTTGATCAGCATCAAATTCTGAATCGATTGAAGCATCTCCGTCGAACCAACCAACTTTGAACTTGGTAGAAACATTCAAAGTTCTTGCACACTGGTTGATATTGGAAACCACTGTTTTCTAAAAGAAGAAAAAATTGGTCCTTCGCTAGTACGTGTTAAAAAATGGAAAAAAATTAGTCGCGGTTTTCCAGTTTTGTAGAGTGTCACCATTTCATTTTTTTTTCTTCAAATCCTTTACAACGCACAGAAACAAGGCTGAAAACTCTCAAAAAGTATATAAATTCTTCGACAGCTTCATATTTGAAATGCACCTAAACATGTCCGTCTGTTCGTCTACCCGATTGTACAGTATCTGTGGTAAACGAAATATACAAATCGAAAATAAACATATTGGGTACAAATTTGCAAAATAATCTGGAAGAGACCTAAATTTTTCAAACGAAACGCCTACAACGCACATACGTAGCAAAAATTTTTATTTTGAAAATAGAAAAAATCAGCGGCACCCTCTCCATATTGTAGGGCGTGAAGATTTAGTTCTTTTACTTTTTTGATCTTTTTTAGGATAACGGTGATGGGTACAAAACATTCGGTCACGACCGAATATAATTTTCTTGCTTGTTAAAACTAATTTTTTTTTAATTAATATTCTAGATCATATAAGAATAACCTCTGCGTTCGGGAATTTGAAAGTGGCAATAGTTACTCCTGTTGGGAAAATGTTAATTCTTCCTGAAAACTTCGACCAATTAGTATTCTTCCTCCTCTACCGAAAGACCTCGAATGGTTAGTAATGGGTCAGTTTAGGCTGCACTTGCCCACGACGAGTTTGTTAACGCTAATCAGTCTGGGTACAAACTGGGGCATAGCTGTAACGTAGCGATTCATTTTTAAGTGACATTTGCCATAAGTTCACTGCCCTTGTAATAATTGATTGTTAGAAAGCTTTTGATACTGCCGACTACAAATTAGTGTTGCAAACTTTGGGTTCAGTTCGATTGCGATTAATCCGATCAGGTCTTATTTGGCGAATCGGCATGGTTGATTGTAATTTTTTCTCTGAATTGAAGGTGAACACTTCTGGTATGCCGCATAGGTTCATTCTGGGACCTATCTTATTTAAAAACTTTATTCACGGTTTGGTTGCAAGTTGCCACAACTGTCGCATTTATTTATTTGTTGATGATACACAAATCCATCTCTCATGCTCACGCGGAATGTTGGATGATTTGATCCAACGTATCGATGAAGATTCGGATAGCTTTACTTTCTGGTCTGATTCTAACAATCTAATGGTGAATACTAGCAAAACTGCAGCCATCACTATTTTGCCGGTCGGCTGTGACTCCAATTCCTTGTCATCTGTTTAGAAGTTTGAAGAAGAGACTGAGATTGTTAGTGTAACCTGCTAGCTTGGGTTTAAGCTCAACTCTCACTTGAGTGCTGAAGTCTGATTCTAACAACCTAATGAGAAAATCTTGTTTGCTAAATCTCACTTTATCCCAAGTAAGTATTTATCAGCTGTAAACTTGTGGAACTCGTTACCACTTCGTATTAAAGCGATTATTAGCGGGGTGAAGGGGTTCTATAGTGTCCATTTAGGCTTTCTACAATTTATAATTAGTAGTCTGTACCAATATCTCCAATCCAATACCTGCATCCAATACTGTATAACATAGTTATTATCTATATATTACCATTACTCATAACTAGTGCCGCAAGAGATTTTATATTATTTACAACAGTAATTATTTTATAATTATGTTGTCATTAATAATCATTGTTATTAATTAATAAACTAAATTAAAGTGAATTAAACAATCTTTACGTTTGGATCTACTGGCAAAAGATAATGTAAAAGCCAAATATAAATTTTACATCTAGTTTAGCTAAGGTAATGATTCTAGTCTCACAATCAGCATAATTTTAAATAAAAGACTAGGAACTTTACGCATTTGCTGTTATGTACACGACCTTTAAGTAAGGTAATGTGAATATATGACCTCCTCATTGTGTCTAATCCGAAGCGCATCATGCGCCCAAAGGGTATATACATAAATTTCTTTGCTCTTCCCAGTCAACTAATATCTTTACTTTGGTAAACTTCTCTTCCGAATAATCTATTAGGATCATGATCACGTCATTTTCTTATATCGATTCACTTACAGTTCACAATAAAATATATGTTAATAACGCGGAACATTTACATAGAGTTTTCCAACATTGGCGATGGTTTTCAGTAATTGGATTACATAAAATGATCGAGACCCCATTTCGTTGACAACTTTATCATAATTCAACACCACAAAGCGGCCACAGCGACCTTCTATTCAGCTCTATTCTATTCGTTCCCCGTTGTCGCTTCCTTTTGATAAAGGAAGGTTATGAATTTTGTACTTTGAAGTCTGCTCTCTTTCAAGATGTTCGCAAAAGAACAAAGTTAGATGTCAAGACGCTTCGGACATAAAACTAAGGAAACTCTTTACAAAAACTTGGTAAATATATGCCAGCTGACTATATTCCGCAGTATTGGACCATCGTCAGTACCTTAAAATGTAGAACATCTGCATTATAGGACATTCTGACGAAACTTCAAATTTATATATGTAAACTATAATTAGCAGCTTACTGGCAAAAATATCACATAAATCCTTAACCTCGTTTCACTTTATCTACCTAATAGCGACTCATTTAGCTTGTATATTGTCAAGCTCGACACATTAATTATTATATAAATATAAGCAAATAAGTCAACACTACGCCCCCATGTATGAACAAATGCAATATGCGACCATTTTTCGATGCATATTTCTATGTGTTCGATTGCTCTGCAGTGCATACGTCCGTCACTGTTCAATTTCAATCAACCGATCAGAGCAACGCCTTTTCCCAGAAAAAGGTTTATTTCTCCTTAAATACAAACACAAGTCAACTTTTTTTTTTTTAATTTTGTATTTTTTTTGAAAATCCTTCCAGTATATTAGACAATTTATAAACATGATCTGCGTCATATTCGTGAAACATTATTTCCGTTCATTTTCAGGAACTCTACTCACTTACATAATATGCGAATACAATTAGCTCTCGATATCTCAAGCATGTTCATAGATTGCATTCTTTGAAGTTCTAAAGCGAACCCCAATATTAATATATCCTCATCTTTTATCCATGCTGTGAAGATAACAACAATAGGAAATGCTTTGCAATTCGAAATTGTAAAGAGAATTATCTTACCATGAATAATTTTAGACGGTATTACGATTCTTTCCTTAATAAAATTTGCGAAAATCCTACTTTCTTTTGCAACGAAAATCGAAATCATTTCCAAGATCTTGCTTTCCAATTGTTAGATTTCGACTTATTCATTTTATTATTGTATTTCGAAACTGTCGTAATACCTCTATGCGAATCAAATAATATAGTGACAACCTTTTAATTTGAATATTGGTATCAATATCTTAGGACATAGATTAAAAGAATTTCATGAATGCATCTGTATTAAGCTTTCAGTTTATATACATATAAGTATATATATAATTGCGTGTGTATAATACGCACGCACGTAAATAGTGATGATTCTAACATTGAAATTAATTTTAAATTAATTTTACGTAAAATTAAAACAATTTACTACGTTTAAAAATTTGTTAAAATTATTATTGTGTACATCTAAATCACCGTTCTCATCGATCCATAGTCGCCCCTTAAACTCACATAAGAATTCCAAAATGCTTAATTTATAACCGCTGTGCGATATTGTATACTAAATGGAAAGTGTTATTTTCAATAACCCTCGACTATATTTCTTTGTTCACTGCGGCAGAATGCAGTTACATGCTTCCTTCTTCCTTGGATTTTTTAGAATTTGCAACTTGTTCTGTTTGTGGTTTTTTAGCACCCGAATAAGCACAAATTCCGCCCTTGCATTGAAATGGAAATTCCGGCGCTGCCTTTATTATGTTACCATCGGCATCTTTCTTTTCCCATGGATTCCAGTATCGTAACAAAATGGGTTGAAAGAATCTATGCCATATGTACAACAGTACTGGTATAATAAAACAAGGCACACAAACCATGTTGATACGAAGAGAAAGCTAAAGAAATAAAAATTTCTACGATAATTCTTTAAAAAGTAAAAAAAAACCAAATTCCACTTCTCCCAAAGAAAATTGTTTTTTGTGATATGCAAAACAGCTGTTTGAAATAGTTTTTATTATAACTGATTACACCTCTGGTTAAAACTTATCGGTTTTCATTGACGACTCATGTACATAAACGATAATTCGTTTTGATATTTGTATAAATTGCGAAAAATATTACATAGCGTAAAAAATATGTGTATATATATATTTGTATAAATATATATTTGCGTTTGTGATTATGGACCGCACCTAGTACGTATTAGTTATGAACGTAAAAATAGCTGTTTGAAATAATTTTTATTATAACTGATTACATCTCTGGTTAAAAGTATCGGCTCTCATTGACAACTTATGTACATAAATTATAATTCGTATTGGTATTCGTATAAGTGTTGCAAGTATTACATAGCCCAAAAAAATTTGAACTTCATATATATATAAATACTACTAATACTATTAGCTACGCATACTACGTACTAATTATGAATATTTGTCGTATTTCATTATCATAAGCCTGCTTAAATGAATACGATTGAAGGATGCACGCATATTGAATTTATTTAACTTCGGAATGAAAGGCACAGTTTGCAGTCTTCTTGAGTTGATCAGTCGTTAACCACGTAAAATCCGTATCATTTACTATGGTTTGAAGTTTAAGCTTAACCAAGATTTCTGTATAGAAATTTCCAGATATATTAAACTTCAAAAATAAGCTAATTTTTTCTTAGGCATAGCCAGCATTGCCAAGATTAAAAATTTAAGTTGAAAGCAATGAAAACAATGCGTTTTCACGTAAGGGAGTTTTTAAGCATATCAGGAAAGATGGTAAACTTTTTAACAAGCTTGCTAATCAACTACGCCATTCATATTCTTAACATTAATTTTTAACAATATGTTAAAATTGATTCGCTTTCCAACAAAACGGATACGCACAATCATAATAATGGTGGCAAAACTAAATAATAAACTAGAAAACCTTGTGTTAGTTCCTATAAATCGTATTAACTAATTCATTTATTGGTAACAATCTCTACGTTATTTGAAATGATTTATCGATAATGTACATAGGAACGCTGTTGTCAGCTACATCATTTTTTAAAGAATATGCAGAGTTGCAAAAAAGCGTAGGTCCCAACTCTTAATGTACTTTCATGTTCTTAATGCGAATGGAATGTTGCTCGTTACAGGGTTTTTACTACCCCGTTTTACTCTTACCTGAACATTTTAAGAAAGAATACCACACGACTTCTGACTTACCCTTCACGTGAATTACTAAGCACTTCTATTGCAATAAGGGAATATGTATCAACGATACAAAGAGAGCATTTTTTACAAATTAAAGAAATATATAAAAGTATATAAAAAATGAAGGAAAATATAATTGCCAACTTGATTCGTTTACGTTATTGAAAGTTTGGCATTATTTATACCTTAATGGTTAATTATTAAAAGTTGCGTAAAATGCATATATAAAATTATTTTAAAAAAAGAAAAATTTTAAGTTAAAAAAATGTTTAGTTTGAACGTTTACTTTTATTTTTGGCTTTGCTTGGAAATAAAATTCTATTTCTGAGAGTAAAAATTACTTTCCTGTATACTTCTTATGTAGATACAAAAGCACGTTTCTCCAATTCTCCAAATTTTTCAATTATTATGGCTACAATAAAAATAAAAGAAAATAAATAAAAAATCGACTAAGTAATTAAACAATTATAAGTGAGAAGTTCATCCAACAACTTAGATTTTCTATGATTTTCTATGATTTTAAATAAAATACTGTTGTTGGATCTGGAATGCTAATACAATACATGGAATTTTCGATCAAATTTACTCAATAAAATACTACATCGTACTAAGTGAAACAAGTGTAGATGTTAGTTTTTCCGTTTTTTTCTTTAGTTTGGTCGTTGCCAAAATGGGCTTTCTAATTGTTTTCTTCGCAACATTCTCTTTGCATCAGGTGTTCCTCAACGAGGCCATCATGACTCTACTCTTTTCACTTTCTTATACAAATTATCGCCACGTTCGAATATTTTTCTCATTCTTACAATATGATAAAAAACAAATGATATTGGTTTGGTAGTTCCCTACATTCACATAAATATTGCCATGAATTTTTGTTCGCTATATTGTACGCGCGTTAGTGTGTATTCAATTTTATATATAATTGCTATTATTATCATTATCGTTTGTCTCTTCCTCGTTTGATATAGTTTAAACTTAAAGTTGAAATCTTCTTAAGTAATTAAGCCTTAGCTCTTTATTATATAACTATAAGTTATACTTCAGAAGTTTTAGTAACGCTATTAGCTGAAGTTTATGTTCAATGAAATTGTACGTAATTATAAATTAGTTAAATTCTTGATATCTCGAATACCATCTTGTCAAATTATGGATTCTAATAATGCGCTCATTTGTAAAGGTTGCGTTATTGACCGCTAGTGTATATAATTAACTAGTGAAAGTAACGAGTGCAAACCCTATGCATATTCATTCTGCTTGGTTCAGATTTTAAATTCCGTGTTTTTGCATATAGTGGGAAAAGAGCAACATCAGACCAATCTCTATGCATTAATTGCGTTCTACTAAATACTGTGTCTATACCGAGGTAACCCTAATAACTAGACATGAATGTAAATTTCAAAGCTTGGCAATATTTTCTTATTGTTAAATTAAAAGTAAATTTTGCTCTCAGAAAAGTCAAAACAGGTCTCACTAAGTATGTAAAGTAAAGACATCAGCAAAGCAAAAATTTCTTATTTTCTTTCTCGTTCTCATCGGATTCGGTCTTGTTTGGTGAATGTTGTGAACCGTATTTTTTTTATTTTTTTTTATTTTGCGTTTCCAACAATTTCATTTTTTCTCTTATCTGTGTGTGGGTTTTGTAAAATACTAATGTGATAAAATCAAAGGTGAAGATAGAATCGAAATGATGGCTAAAGGTATGATTGATGGATTTCAACTAACGTTGCCGAAGTAGCGAAAACAGATTTATTTTGTGTGCTCCGTAAAGACGAATTTTCCCCAAATTTTTTAGATCAACGATAATAATATTCAAGCCAAAAAAAAAAGTATTGAATCTATCAAATCGTACAAGAATAATTGTAAGATAAAAGCGAAAAATTGACGGAGATCTGCAGAGAGAACAACAATGTGGAGTCCAACACATATTAAAGTGACAAGTACGTATATGTATGTAACAGGAATGGAGTAGCCATAATGTCAGAGAATATTTCAATAGCAGATATTTCCAATGTCTACTTTATGCATTTTTTTTTTTACAATACTATTCAATTCAAATTTCTAAAGATGATTAATGAACGCATAATGCATATAGACTCCACCTTAACGAGAGTTTTTGTTTTGTGGTTGTTGATTAAATTATGTGCTTTTCTGCTATTGTTAAGTGATTAAATCGATCAATACAATGTATGCCAGTAAATTATGATAGTGTCAAAAAACTAAAGAGGGCGTTTTGAAAAATTTTCTTCTTACTCTTTAGGGATGTATTTTTATTTTAAAAAAATGTGCAAACATTTTTTTGCAATTATATTTAAACGTTTGAAAAATTAATAGTCAAATGGCCCTCAAAAGGTAAACCGCACCCAAGTTGCTTATGATATTTATGTACGCGCAACAAAAGTTTATATCGAAAAAAAGTGAACTTTTTGAAGGCCTAATATTTGTTTAATAGTAGCTATGACAATGTTGATTATAACAGATAACTAACTGGAAAGACAGGGAAGGGCTTTCTTTGCATCGTTTTGTTGTTTTTTGTTGTCTCTGTTTTGTGTGCCGAAACCAAACTGAATCATTTTTCCTATTTTATTTATTATTAATACTTTATGTACTGCATTCTCTATTAAGCACATACATGAACAATTAGCATATATATATACCTACCTACACAATCAAAGCAATTGAAGCCATCATCTATATTATGCTTAACCCAAAAAAAGCAAACAACAACTTCAGTAATAACAATAACAATAACAACGAATTACGCCAAACGTAATGTTTCCAGGTGGATCGGAATGTAAATACATAAATAACGAATTACGTTTAATGTTTACTTCTTTGTGGTATGCTGCACTTGTTAGTATATTATATGCTTTTATATAGTTCTTATACTCTTGTCTGGTTTGTCGTTTTATTAGATTTTTATGCCCATAATAGTGATTAGTGGGTCGATTGACCGGCTACGTACTAAGCATTGATGCCAAGACTTGAGGAATGATAATAAACACATGTTTTCGCTGTTGCGTTATACAATTGCAATTTCTACCTGTACGCTACGTCAATAACAGGTTACTCTTAACTAGTTTTATGTAAAAAAAAAAAAATGTTTCTTTTTTCTCAACAATCAAATAATCACCAATTTGGTGAATCTTCTGGGTTAAAAAGAAAAATAAAAAAAAAAAACTTGGATGAGGGAGAGAGAGAATGAGCTGAAGATTGGAAGAGAAGAAGTAAGATTGAGACTGATTTTGATGTCTCACATATTGCTCGCAATATCTAATGAACCATTATTTTTTTTTTTAGAGCCTTCACTAAAATATGTTTTTCTACCAAGAATATCGTTCTCTATGTTCAAAAATAGAGCGCATTGACACCTGCTAAAGCAATTATATGTATAATTATATACATATCGCCTGCATGTATTTGATTACTTTTTCACTTGAAAAAGTCCTTTGTTGAGAAAAATTGGTACGATATATATTAATAAAAATATTTTGCATCATTTTCTATAACTTTTTTCCATCTTGCTGGCAACATGCTGGCATACCATGTCGAAAGAACGACATTGGTTTGCCAGAATCCAGAGGTCAGCCAAGCTATGCTGCACAGATTTGAACAAGTGGCAATCAGAAGCTACTACGTTGGGTGAGCACGCTAGATGCGGCAGGATATCCTATTCGAATTGCAACAGTATGTACTTGACAACTTTTGCAATATGTGACTGAGCGTTGCCATGCAAGAGGATGACTTTGCATCTGTTAACCGCTATTGTTGGTCTCTTTCCCAACAATATATCGTTCAATTTATTCAATTGACGTCGGTAGATATTTACATAAGAACTTAATTCGGTTCTCGCAATTCGTTATACCTTGTCGATCCTAGACTAATCTATGACTTTTCGCACTTGGTTCCATAACGCAAACAAACCGCGACGTTGAAACGCTTCGGAATGGCATCTTCAGTCAATTCGTGTGATAGCCATATTCTCTCCGTTTGGATCTTCCTCATCGCATATCAACAGTTAGAAGCAGTTGCTTCATTAACTGCTAACGTGTTTGAAACTTCGTTGACAGTTTGAGCTGGAATTCCCTCCATTAAGTCATGCTATTGATTGTCTTTGAACTTAGTATCTCAAAGACCGTTTAAAATTTGTCTTACGCAAGATTTAATCATAGTTATTCACTAAGCTGCGACATTTTACTGTGCATGCAAACGATCCTGTTAGAATATGCATTTGTCTCAGTTGTGTTTTAAATTGATTTAATTGGACATTTTTTAATAAAAGTTTTAACAACGTCGTTCGTCATAATTGTCATTTTTACGATGGGTTTTCAAGCAGCAAAAATTTCATTTTATTATTTAGTACGTTGTGAGACCTTCTTCTCTTCTTTTCATTATCTTTTTTCATTTTCATGAAATCATACACAGTGCAGTTTTTGATGTTAGATTATTATTATTATTGGTTTAATACTTTTAGGGACACTAGAGATTTCGATTGATTTCCAAAAATAAACAATCAACTTTCCCCACCCGCCCAACCGAGGACCGGATCGTCTCTGCCTAACGTGGAAAGCACCAATCGAAATGAACTCTCAACGATCAGTTAGAAGGTACGGTTCAGCTAATCGCGAACAAGGACAGATAGAGTATTAAATTACATAGCGATTAAGTGCTTAGTAATCTTTCCCGTAAAAGCAAGTAATGCTTTTAATCATTTGTGCAAAGTCATTCGTGTAAAGGAATAATGCATTATTATATTAATATGGTCAAAAGGTCAGACAGTCGGAGGTTGTAGCGGATAAAGGGATGTGTCATTGCAAGGCTTGTTGGTTCAGCAGTAATGGCGGATGGTTCTACTATTCCCTTATCCAAAAAAATACCCCACACAGACCGTTACACTGAAGAAATACGCACCTGGGGATAGACGGGCGACTGAAACTTTCTTACCGGACGGGCTCATGTTATGCCCTGTGTTCTTCTACATCCTGTCGAGTTTACGTTCGACTTGATGACAGCAGCCAAAGTCAGTAAGATTATAGTTGTCATTATGTTGACTCCCTAAACCTTCGGATAGTGTCATTGTTAATGCATTTTATTAAATGCATATTATTTATATTAACTAGTCTCTGTGAAACATTTATCTTTATTTTAGATAGTAAGTCAGCAAGTCTTTAGTCAGATACATTGTAGTGTCTCTGCATACTTCATAACAATAATCAGAATATAATAGTGCAACTCTTGGCGAATCCGATGCAATCTCCATACTGCATGTAAAAATCAAACAGCTTTAGCGTAGCATAATTATTTTAGGTCAGAAGTTTATAAATATATTCATATAAAGATGATCCCAAACAGGGTAAAGGGAACAAAATGTTGTTTGATACTACAAAAGAGTTCAATTTCTTTGCAAGCTATTTTTCAATTCGAATAAATTTCTTTATAGTAAACAAATGAAAGACGACCGTCCTTCTACTTGACTGTTTCCTCGACAAACAAAAGCGCATTATTTTGGCTCGTTTGTCAATACAACAAAATTTGTTTATAGTTAACAAACTTTGCGTATGTTTAGCTTACTTTAAGATCAAATGGTACATTAATAAATTAACCCAGAATGTAACAAACATGCTCACAGACACGTCAAAAGTCATAAGGCATTTTTTTTCTTTGTGCTTCTCGTAACATAACAAACTTCTGCTGTGAGGAAATTCATATCAAAGATTTCGTTGCATCTCTTGCTCTGTGATAATATGTTTGTTATAATAACACAAAAATTACAAGAACAAAATATATGGTTTTTTCTTATTAATTAGTGATCGCATACAACGCCAGAAAACCATTTATGTATCTAAACCAATAAAGTCTACAAAAAATATATCCTTTTACGCGGAAATTGAATCCTCGCTAGCGTACAATAAATTTATTTCAATAACAGTGATTGGCATATGAAGAAATCGTTGCATCTGCCACGTTTGTAAAATCCGTCCTGTTGCTGAAATATGTTCGAAATTTACAAGAATCATAAATGAAATGAAAGACTACAAGAATCATAAATCAAATCGATGCTGAATTATATTCATATTATATACGTTGCAAATGATAATAGTGTGTGTGTGTGTTTGTTGTATCGGTGCAAAAATGATTATCACACAAAACAGCAAATCTTTTACATTTGAAGAAAATTTTATCGAGAGATAATTCATTTCATGAAATAAGTCTGTAGTGACAAAGTGTTTACACTGGTGTGGCAGAATAGGCGAGTACCATACGCGCTCTAAGCATGGCGCGAAACGATTTAAATGATGACCATAGTATATAGGGTATAGGGATAAGGGTATCAGAGATCAGCCAAAAATTCCATTATTATTACATTAATTGAAATGGAATTAAATCTGTTCAATCTTTCAAAGCGAGTAGGGCTTTCAATTTCGTTGATCGACCTTATGTGATTGATATTTGAAGTAAAAATTGCATTTTAACTGTCAACTACGTGCCCTATTCACTTAATTTAGTGCATGCAGTTTTCACTTATTCGGAAGTATGAATGATGGACGGATGGAAGAGTGGACCCTCCTGTGTAGAATCTGACCGGATGTGTTCTAAAGTCTTTGTTTTCATTTAGAATCCGTCTTATTTACTTAAGAGCACACCTCATAGCCTCCTATTAATTACAATATTATTGAGGTGTTGAAGGTTTTCGTTAACAAGTCATGGCAAAGCGTAAATACAACGACATTATTTTGTAACGATTTGCTGCCTTTGTGTTTTTCTCATTTTTCCCAAAAACTTTCTTTATCAACTTAACTTTTGAAAAGAGAAAAAATTGCACCTAGAGAAAGTGCAAGATTTTGGAGTTTTAATATTTAAGGCTCTGTTCTGTTCCACATTTCGTTTTTTTTTTTTTTCTTTTTTATATCGAATATTGAAGGAATACGGGGTTAAGCTA